TCCACTTCTTAAGTCTCTTCGACTGCTGTATCTTTGTATGAATCATCTGAATGGGGATACTTGTCCTCGCCATGTTCACGGTCTCCTTTGTTTTCAGTGCTCTTATCAGGTTTCTTCTTAAAGAACCCTTCGAAAACTTGTCTTGATTTTGCAGCTTCTTGCCTTTCTGCAGCACGCTTTTTCCGTTTCGTAGCCCCACTCTGGGAAACTCGTTCTTTCGGCATGGGTGAAGTTCCCCTTTAAAGAATAACATTCTTTTAATTTCACAAATAAAAAATATGCAAAAAATTATATATACTTGTTTCATCCGCCATGATTGTGAAATTTCGTCAGACGAATAGACATAAATATAGGGTTTTTCAATCAATTTTCCCAACCTTGCAATCAATTTTCCAATGAAAAATTTTACCCCTTATTTTATTTTAAAAACATACTAAAAAACGATATAGTAAATTGATTAATAGTAAACAAATCAAATGTATTCCTTTATTGCCTCCCTTCTTTCTGATCGGATTATGTACCTTAACATTTTTCTGTCAAATCCATCACAGTCTGTTGTGGTATTAACGCTAAAACCCCCATTAATACAAACCTTTAATTGCTCTTCGTTCTTACATCGCTCTCTAATAATATAGTTTTTCCATTTAGAAAAGCAAGTTTCAATTGGATTGAGGAAAGGTGAATAGGAGGATAAATGCTCCTTCTTCTTCTGTATCTTAAGGGCCCACGATCAATTTATTGACCATTTTGGCTCCTATGCATGTAGATGGGATTTGCAATGTTTCTGTTACTGGTATTGATGAGGAAATCATGCACTAGGGGTTTGAAGGCTTGAGGCAATAGACACAAATGTGTCTAGTGTTGTCGCCTCAACCGTTCCTTTTGAAAGATGGTTCCAGTCCCTGATTGTCTTGGGCAGGAATGAGCAGCTCCTATACTGGCTTCTTGCTGGTATGAGCCTGAATTGCCTTTCATGGCCTCGTCGCTGTCTATGGGGGAGAGGGACGAGTTTCTGTTTAATACTGGAACAGTGGACCAGCCCATTATTTATCTTGTACATCATGGAGAGCCTGGATTGTCGTCGTCGTTTCTCCAATGGTGACCAGCCTAGTGTTTCTAGCATTGGGGAGAGGGACGAGTTTCTGTTTAATACTGGAACAGTGGACCAGCCCATTATTTATCTTGTACATCATGGAGAGCCTGGATTGTCGTCGTCGTTTCTCCAATGGTGACCAGCCTAGTGTTTCTAGCATGCTGCCAACACTAGAGGTATTCCTGTAGCGGTTTAGGACAAAGCGTGCTGCTCGTCGCTACTCGAGTGTCAAGTTTAATTCTGAAATTGAAGAAGCCAAACCCGAATAATGGCGAATTCTAGCATTATCAAGAATAAATATTGGATCTGTTATACCCAGTTCTGTACATTTTGCTTTAAGGTTCATTAACGTAGCCTTAAAATCCTCGCTATTTAAAGCTCTATCATGAATATATCATACAGTTTTTACTGATGGCAACAAAGACAGAAATATCTCTAGTTCTTTACTGTAGGCTCATCTACATAAGCGGATGTACCAACAAACGAACGACCTTTTTATGGTCTTGATGAGACTGCAAACCCCACTTCATCTAACAAAAACAATCTTTCAGCACTATGAGTTACTTCATACTCTCGAAACTTTTGAGCATAAATAACCCGTTTTTCAATGGTTATCTCATTGTTTCGAGGTTCTGGAACTACTGTTGTCTGTTTAAGAGTAGAGTGAAATGACCTTAGACACCGGTCAATTGTACTATGAGAAACTTGAAATGACAATTTTTCAAGAACCTTCTCACTTGACTCATTCAACGTTCACAAGCAGTTCTCATCGACCCACGCACGAGTTTGGTCTCTATGGATTAGATCAAGATTTGATTGCCTATTCTGACGGGGAAACGTTGAGATGATTGACCGTTGTCCTGCATTCGGGCCATCATACCATCATGCAGCTGACGGATGATGTTGGTGAACTTGTCTGGGCGTCCGTATTTCTTCATGATTTTCCACAAACCACCTCTATTGACCCTGTCAAATGCAAAGTTGGATGACTGATGACTTTCGCGGGTGACTTTGTTTAAAGTGGGGAAGAGTTGCGCAGCGTCAACCTCACTCTCTCGTCCGGACCCACTTTGCGAAACTTAATGATGTTAGAAACGTAAATATCATTGCATATATACTTCTTTTTTTTAAAGTTAAGGAATTTTAATGAGTTTTTGCAATAGCAAGTAGAAATTATCGCAAAGGACCTACCATTATTATTCCGATAACATCGGGTCATATTTGCTAGTATTTTATAAATGCTTTACAATAAGAACCTTCTTTGAGGGGGGGTGGGTGTTTAATTGAATGATCAACGTTCAACGCAAGGGGAGGGGGCGACCAACCAAAAAGTGGCAGAGGTCCTTGAAAAGTTAAGCGACGGCTCTGCTTGATCTGGTTGTGTTAGATAAATACATTTTTACAGAATTAAATAATAATGTGGATTTTAATATTTTTTTTTATCGATTTTGGGGTTAAACTACTTAATAAATGAACTTTCAACACACACATACACACACGCACACACACACCTCTTCCTAAAACGTTTTCCCATCACAAAAACGAATTTTATTGTTAACATCATTTAACATGATGAAGGCAAATTTTAAAAAAAATATATTAAAACTTACTTAACTTCTGTAATTATTTCTAAAGAAAAGACATATATATTGACCATTGTGTTATTTTATCTCAGAAAAATCGCATACAAATAAGGTTACATTTCCCAATTCAGTTTGATTGAAAGGTTTATGGGGAATTTCAAACTGCTATAATTTCCTCAGTTAAATTACATAATGCCTCTTCGATATACTCGACATACTTTCTAAAACCAGACCTAACACACACACACACACAAATAGAATTGGCATGATATTCATCAAAAAACATTAATTTAAACAACCATATGCATGCAAATAGGTGGGACGAATTGTTTATTATTCTTATGTTAAAAAGAGATAAGCAGCTGGGAATTGAATCACAATAGGCTACGTGCTACTGTGGGTCGTTAGAGTATTTTTGTTATTTGTTGAAGTCCGTGTTATTTATGAAACTGTGTTATATAAAAAGTTGAACATTTAAACAAAACAAAAATACGAACGCTTTCGATTGAATGATAATTGATGAACTGATGGGTCAGTTATGTTGACTTTCTATGGGATGGGGGGGGGGGCATCATTTCCCATCCCACCACCCCCACCCCAACAGGGAGACATGCATTAAACAAGCACCGACCGTGATGATGATGGTGATGATGATGGTGATAATGATGTTGATGGTTATGATGGTGATGATGATGATGGTGATGATGATGGTGATGATCATGGTGATGATGATGGTGATGATGATGGTGATGATGATAGTGATGATGATAGTGATGATGATGGTGATGATGATGGTGATGATGATGTTGATGATGATGTTGATGATGATGGTGATGATGGTGATGATGATGATTTGATGATGATGTGTGATGATCATGATGGTGATGATGGTGATGATGGTGGTGATGATGATGGTGATGATGATGGTGATGATGATGGTGATGATGATGGTGATGATGATGTTGATGATGATGTTGATGATGATGGTGATGATGGTGATGATGATGATTTGATGATGATGGTGATGATGATGGTGATGATGATGGTGATGATGATGGTGGTGATGATGGTGATGATGATGGTGGTGATGATGGTGATGATGATGGTAATGATGATGGTGATGATGATGGTGATGATGATGGTGATGATGATGGTGATGAAGATGGTGATGATGATGGTGATGATGATGGTGATGATGGTGATGATGGTGATGATGATGGTGATGATGATGGTGATGATGATAGTGATGATCATGGTGATGATCATGGTGATGATGATGATGGTGGTGATGATGGTGGTGATGATGGTGATGATGATGGTGATGAAGATGGTGATGATGATGGTGATGATGATGGTGATGATGATGGTGATGAAGATGATGGTGATGAAGATGAGGATTGATTAACTTGTAGAGCGCTTGTGTCCATGCCACTCTAGCTAGCTCAAAGCGCTCTGATTTAAAAAACAACTCTATTTAAAGGTAAATGTCTGCTCAATGATTCTTAATCATTTTTAAAATCCATAAAAGATTAAAGCAGACTGTTCCGCAATTTAGGCGCCATATCTTCAAAAGAGCGCACTCGGAAGGAGCCGCTTTAAGGTTACATGTTTGGAAATAAGCTATTTCAGATAATCAAGTGAACAGCCTTCCACACCTCTGTACGCCAGGGACACAATTTTGTGTTTAATGCGCCCACGCACAGGAAGCCAGTGGAGATCTTTAAGAACTGGGGTGGTGTGGTCAGATTTCTTTATACGCAATATACAATGAGTGCTGCAGTATTTTGTAGCTTCCGGAGTCTCTAAAGTTAGTGTTGGTGTATTAAAAACCAAAAGGCAACTGTTACAGTAATGTATTGACCAACTCAAGTGGCGCTTCTTTCGAATACCTATGCCTTAGGTCCTCTGTACTCGTGAATCCATGTATAGCTGTGTTCGATGTGAAAGCGATTTTAAATTATCTTTGAAAAGTCCAGCATTTTTTTTTCAAAAATCTAAACAATTTTTTTTTTAGTTGATTTGAAAATCAGTCGGGGCCTGCCTGGTAGAGCAGCGGTTCTCAACCTATGGGTCGCGACCCGTTTGGGTGTCGAACGACCCTTTCCCAGTGGTCGCCTAGAACCATCGGAAAACACATATACTCTACAGTTATGTATTAGCAACGTAGTAGCAAGAAATAATTTCTTCGTTGGGGTCGCCACAACATGAGGAAGTGTATTTAAAGGGTCGCGGAGATAGGAGGGTTGAGAACCACTGTGGTAGAAGAAGAATTGTAAGGGAAAATACTCTAAAATATTGATTGCTTAGATCTACTCTTTAGTGGTAAAAATTTAAAAAAACTCTAGACGTGGGATGAAAGTATTTCCTGTTTATCTTTTAGTGAAAACAAATGGTATTTATAACGTTTTGAAAACGTAAGAAGCTCCATTTTTTTACAGCTTATAATCATATATGATATAGTTCAAGGGTAATATTACTCAGGGTGTATACCTTACTTCAGTACACCACAGTCGAACCCTCTCATTTATAGTATAACTAATAGTAATCATAAACTCCAGTAAATAATTATTATTAGACTTAGTATTAGTATTTTACTTTTATTAATTTATTTTTCTGCACTCTTCCGAACGCCGGTCCCTGTAACTAGTACTAGTAATTATAATGTCAAATTCATATAGTCAGGTGGCCCCGACATTTGGTGATGTAATTGTTTATCTCTAGGCCGGCACTACGTACACCGCGGCGGTGTACCTGGCGAAACTATTGACTTTGGCCTGCGTACACGTGATTTAAAGTAGCAAAACCATGGTCTTTGCCAATCTTTAACTTTTTGGCCTAACCGGTACTTGTAGATTTAATGTTATACTCTTGTTAAAACTGAAAACTATTTATTTAAAATTCGTTTAGTACCTTGGGAGGATAATATTGTGTAAGTTCCACGCTTATACTTATGTGGCAAAGTACTTGTAGAGCATTCCTTATTATTTATTGTAAGGGAGGGGGCTTGGGGTGTAATGTTAAACCATGATTTATTTTTAAAGTTAATCCCTTTACTTTATTTCCCCCAATATAATGAAATACAAATATATTCATTAATTATTAATTGGAGTAAGTTTTAACCTATGATTGTGAATCTCAATAGGCATAGCTAAGGGGAGCTAATTTAAAATTATTCTCTCCCCCCCCCCCCAGTCGGTTTTTTTTTTGGGGGGGGGTTTATTATAATTATAAAATTGTATGTGATCCCTCAGGGCGTGGTGTAAAAATGAATGGGAAGCCAGTGTATCTATTTTGTCAGCACCAAGATATAATTACGCCACAAAGACATTACGGCAGTTACGGGAAGAGAATCACATACATTGATTATGAAGTCGTGAAGTTAAAGTTGTCCTAGGCATTGTTAATGTGATACCAAGCGATTGTCAACACAAAACAACAGTATACTGTATAATGTTCAATACGAAACACTGCAGTGATTTTTAAAAGTCTTTGAACAATAATTAAATATCATTGAATTAGTTTTACATTGGCATTACACATTAGTAAAAAAAATGTCGGCGGAGATCGGCACACCCCCCCCCCCTTTTTCCGGGTAATTTTGTTGTGCGGACGTCTTTTGTGGACAACCCCTATCTAGAGTCATGATTTGAGTAGGCCCCCTTTTTGGTTAAGCCTCTGCCCATAACTCATCCCCCCCCACCCCACGGCAAGGATCGATCTCTTAACAAAAAACAACCAATGAAAAACTTTGCAATAGAGCAAATCCTGTCCCATGCGCATGTCCATGAGAAAACGTTGTGTTTTACCCTGAGAATAGCACATGCCATGCCATTCTGGATACAAATTCCGTCATGAGCAGGGTAAACGCAGATCTATGACTTTGCTATACAGTTTGCTACCGCGCTGTAAGTTTCTAAAATGTTGGTTTTTTTTTTCAAAAGATTTGCTGTGAGCCTGAGTGTTGTGAATGAACTTTTGATATCGTGTGCACATTTTGCCAATGCATAGTGAAAGCAAGATGGTGGAAATACGACCATGCACATTAATATTCATATGATATTATTGATATACTGGTATTTTCTTTGGGTGTTCGTAAAAGTAAAATGTAAATATTCAACTACACGCAGAATGATGAAATGCAATAAAATATCACTTAGTATTCAAAATGTTTCTCTTATACATGTTACATACACTATACATACGCTATCAGAACTTTTCAGTTTGTTTTCTAATGTCTTATTACTAATATTATCGGTACCGGGTATTTTCAAAGTCAAAGGCCAGCACAACTAGTTGAAACACTTATTAATCTGAATAATGAATATAACATATATTTAAATTGCTACAAAATATTTCAAAAAACTTCTCATGAAACTCCTGTTGCAAATGAACATGATAATTTAAATATAAAATATTTTTAATAAAAATTTGAAGAAAAACAAAGCTCGATCCCCTACTGGGAATTGATCTAAAACTATAATATCGCCAGGCGCGCACTCAACCACTTGACCACACACGATCTACTCTTACAGGCATATCTTAAAACCAGGCCAATGGTACATTGGTGTACCCAGGCCAAAGCACACGATTTCACTAGTTACACCGCCGCGGTGTACGCAGGCCAAAGCGGATGGTTTCGCTAGGTACACCCCCGCAGTGTACGCAGGCCAAAGCGGATGGTTTCGCTAGGTACACCGCCGCGGTGTACGCATCCACTTCGTTATCTCTATGATTCTGAATGAATGAAGTTGTCTTGCAGACTAATTGCTTGTAATAATATATAATAAACAATACCATAACCGGCAGAACACAAGCAGCGGCACTGGTTCATTTTGCAAATAATGTTTTGTCAGACTAGGAAACATTTTGCAAAATTATGACAACACCCAAAAGCACTGTTTAACGGCATGCTTCGGTTAGGGTGGCTTTCTGAACACCGCCTCATAACTTTCAATGTCCCATATCTTTAATCTGATTTGCTGAGCAGTGGCGTAGCTAATGTTGATGTCACCCAGTGCTGTAACTTATGGTGTCACACCCCCCCTTCCTGACACCTTCCTCCCGACTTCCAATATGGATTTCTTCTTGTTTAAATTAGTCCACAGTACAATGATAAGAACAAAACAAAGTAATTGAAGGTCAGGAGGTAAATGTATTTAAGAACTGTAACATGTAGCTAGAATCACCCGACCACATTTCAAATCAATGGAAAGCTTTATTTCTTAGAATTTAGATACATATAGCTTAAAACTTTAATCGGCATTGAATCATGGTCAAAATGGCGTTTTTCTGACCTAATTATAGGGTCACCTCATGTCTGACGCATCCACCTTGAATTTACATGTGATTGGTTATCCTTTTATGAAATTCAGTTACACCTAGCGGTGTGTGCTCTGCATACATGCAATTTTTTCAATTTTGTGTCACCCCCTGAGATGGTGTCACCCAGTGCTACGGCAGTATACACACCAGGTCAATTTTTGCAAACTATAGGCTTAATGTATACGAAATCGTCATAATGATATTCTATTGGGTTTACAAAGTAAAATAAAGTTATGCCTAGTTATGCTTTTTAAATGCATTGAAAGTTGGGACACCACTGTATATGTAATATACAACAATTTACTGAACTGAGTTTCGGAATTGGTTTCAAGTTCAACAAGGTGGCACACGCCATGGCCGGTTTCCAAGCTCCTTTTGTGTTTTCCAGTAGCGCTTTAGCATCAAAGAACATTTTTTGGATAATACTTGAAGTTGTTGAGTGACACTTATCACATTTGACCATGAACTTGGTTATTCTGCTTATTCAATACGTTTTACTAGTGGTTTGAATTTTGGACTGGCGTTCAAAGGAGGGACAAGTTTTCATACAAAATATTTTTTTTACATAATATTTACAGAGAAATATGAGGTTTACTAAATAGACCCACAAAATTTAAATTAAGTTTATATGTTGTGGATTTGCATTACAAAAACTAAAATGTTAGCAAACCTTTTTGTACTTAATTATTGATTGATTGATTTGATATTTATATAGCGTATGTATCCATGCCACTTTAGCATGCTCACTGCGCTCTGGTCCTCCGAAATCTATTTAAACATAAAAGTTTTTAATTGTTTCTTAAATGATTTTTTTATCATTTACAATTCCCCTCAAAGATTGAGGCAAACTGTTCCATAATTTTGGCGCTATCGCTGCAAAAGAGCGCTTTCCATCAGAATTTTTAATGTGTTTATCCACACTAGGAACACTCAGTAAGTACTGAGTTGAAGACCGCAGGCTCTTCAAGGATACATGTTTATAAATCAGTTCCTTGAGATATTCCGGTGCTAATATACCTACTACTATTAACACTGTTATAATTTTAAAAATTAATTTAAAGAAGGCTTTTACTTAATTTTATTTCAGCCAACTGTTTTGTTGCTTTCTTGTGGCTTATTTCTAGCTTTGTGATACCTTGTTTGAAGCACTGTTTTTAATTAATATTTATTTGTACATTATTTACTGAAACTAGATTATTATTTTGTAAAAAATTAGAATTGTAATCTAATGTAACTATTTAGCAAACTATTTTTTTTTTAAACAATCATTGGCTGAGATATTTAAAACACCTTAATTTAATGAAAAGGATATATTTTCTAGAGTTATATGCCCAAATGTCTGTCAAACTGACATTTTCAGACACCTTTTTTTATTACTGATAAATTAAATTTGCCACACAGTCAGTTATTTATTAAATCTATAATTAAATAACTACCCCGGTAATTTTCTAATTAACTTAAAACCCTAAAAATATTAAATAACTAGAATTTTGCGTATCTTATTTATTCTTTTCTTTAGGCTCTAAGGTCTTTTACTGAAGCCTGCTGGTCTGATATCTGGTCACCAAAATGGCTAAAGATATTTTCAAAAAAGACCTTTATGCAGTCATTGGCGTGCCAGAGGAGGCCACAGAGAAAGAGATTCTCACAGGGTACAGGAAGAGAGCTCTGAAATGCCATCCTGATAAAAACCCAGACAATCCCAAGGCAGCTGAACATTTTCATGAACTGTCGCAGGCACTTGAAATTTTAACAGATCCGGCAGCACGGTCCGCGTACGACCAGTCTTTAAAAGCCAAAAAGGTCGCAGCTGCAAGAACCAAAGTACTAGATAGCAAGAGGAAAAAGTTTAAGGAAGACTTAGAAGCCAGGGAGAGGGCTGCTTTTGAGCAGAGTCAAGCTGCCGCCGAAGTGGTAGCAGAGAAAAGGTTAAGAGTGGAAATTGATCGGCTTAGAAAGGAGGGATCCAAGTGAGTACACTTTAGTAAAAAAAATTTTTTTATTTCAAATGCTTTCCTTAAATCAATCTCGTCAAGCAAGGCTTACCACCAGCAACTAATATTATTTGATGAATATACTTAACAAATTCCATTAAATGTTCTAAACAACTGTACCAGTACATACAGATCAAGTTTCACTTTTCATCATTTTTGAAAAAGAAAATAACTAAAGCACTATAACTTCCACTTTTTCATTAAATTATTTATAAGTCATCTTCAGTGGAGGTAAAAAAAAAGATAAAGAAAGTGTGATTGATCTTTTAAAAATTCATTCTCAAAAGTAAAGAAGACTTTGTATATATCTGAAACATTCAAAATTAAACTGCAGTCAAAATAATTTTAACTTTTAAGGATTGCTATGAAAGCAAATTTTCATGTCCCGCGGTTAACCAGTTCCAGACTCGAACGCAATAAGTGATTTTCCGCGAAGTAGGAATCTTTATTTTTACATGCTATTAAGCAAAGCTGTTAACCACCCTCTACATATGGTTGTTAACATTATTCGACCCTCTGGGGGTGCTCTAATACATAGGCCTACAGTCCATATGTACAGTAATTTTAATTGTACCAGTAATCCAGTGGTGTACAACTTACCTAGGCAACCAAGCGCGAGCTGAATCATTTTCACTATCTCGAACAACTTTTGATCAACTTTGTAATGAATACATGTTAAATTTTAATAAACGCGAGAGTGAAGCCGCAAAAGTTCAAGCGTGAAGGACAACTGTAATCCCATGTGCTAATTTCAGATTTACTTTGTTTACTTCTTGTCCTGGATTCCTCAGAACATTCTGTTCAAAGACTTGATTTCTGAAATGTTTGCCAATACTTTCCAGATTGCTAGAACAAGAGCAGAAGCGATTAATTGAAGAGATCAAGCGGTCAAGAATCCAACTTGACCATCAAACTAACAGTTCAAAAAATACATGTACATCTGACCCCCCTCGTATCAAACTGAAATGGAAAGCTCAGAAAAGTGACAAAACCAATGGGGGATACACCTGCGACAACCTCAAGAATATCCTCGGCTGTTATGGCCACATCAACACACTCCTGATCTCTAGCAGTCGAAACGGCAGCGCAGTTGTGGAATTTGATGAGGTCTCCACAGATATACTCGATGAAGTTGGTCACAGCGAGAACCCATTCACAATAGTTTGGTTGTCGGGGAAACCGAGTGAAAATTCAACACTCAGATCTGCAGCCCCAGTTAACACAAACAATCCAGATCACATAAAATTGTTTGACTCTGCCGACAGTAAAAGTTTCCCAAAATTTGACTCTGAACATATAAGTGTGAACTTTGGTGCAGAACAATCAAGTTTTGGAGGAGAGAGTGACAGGGATTTCGAGAGTTTAGTTCTGATGAGAATGAGGCAGGCGGAGGAGCGAAAAAAATTGATGGAGCAAATCATGAGGGAAGATGCAGAGTGATTTGACGTTGTTCAGTTATTTAAAATTATGAGCTTGTCTGTTTGTAGTGTTAGGTGGAAATCGTGAGTGAAAGCAAGAAAGTCATGGGGAATAAAAGAATAATTTTTAAACATTTCTGCTTAGTTAAATGTGTAATCAATTCTCCATAAGAAAAATAAATGAGTTAAATTTTGTTAGATGTTATCAATTTGTTTACCTTTAATTAATTAAACCTATCTGATGCATCCAAAGAACCTAATATTTTTTTTACATGCACTGTTCAATGCTCCAGAAGGAGCTTTGGTTACTTTATTAGCTATCAGGCACTTTATGTTTGGCAGAGGTCAATTCTGTTTGTTTTTTGTCTTTCTCACTCTGTGGGGTCTTTTGGCTTTTTTTTCCCGCCAAAATTGGTTCCCAATTCAAATAATTACAAATATAAGGACAATGTATGGTAAACTTGAATTCATTGACAGGACAAAAGATTGATGTTTCGGCTAAGAGCCTTCATCGTCGTCTTGTTTTCTGATGAAGGCTCTTAGCCGAAACGTCAATCTTTTGTCCAGTCAATGAATTCAAGTTTACCATACCTTGTCCTTATATTTTCACAACTTGAATGCAGTCCATCAATTATTATCAAATAATTATCAGCACTGAACCTTTATGCTCATACCACTGCAGCATTTGGTTTGGACTCAAAGGATTATGATCAAAGGTCTGTAATTTGCACTCTAAAAGGGCATATCCCCAGTATGATGACTCTGAAGTGCCCATTATGTTACCTAGGGTACATATTATATACATGTACCGGTAGTAAAATGAAGGCACCCAATTCAAATCTTATCTCTACAACTACTATTATGAATTTATATTAGTTGCTGTTGTTCTGCAGTGATCAAATGGTGTTTAGATTTCATAATTTTATGTTTTAAAAAAAAAAAAAAATTTAATGAAGCAAGTGTTATTTGGAGAAATTGGTATTCACCACTTTCACAAACAGGATGATCTGGGGGATGATAAGTAAAAATGTGTTAAATAATTAATGTTCAAGTATAAGGCAACATAACTTTTTTTTGATAATCATTTATTTCATTCTTTACACACAGTTTATAAGCATAAATCCATTATGAATGGTGAGCCTAATTACAGATGCACATTAAAAAACAAAATGCTATGAAACAATGAATTGGCTGATTTTAAAAACCCACACCATAGAGTTTAAGGATGGAAGTGATTTTCTGAAATAAATACTGTTGGCACGTCTTATCCCCCAACAGACTTCCATTTGGATACAGCATTGAATTTAAACAAAAATGTGGTACATCATTTGTGAACATTTCAATTTCTGACAAGGAGCTGCCAAGAGACATTAATGAAAAGGTCAACTTTAATTGTAGCAGCTGGTTTGTGAACTGAATATATTCTATGTGTGATTTTTGTGGCTATATATATATCCAAATTAAATTTTTAAAGACATCAAGATGAAAATAAAGGTCAAGGCCACACAGACAAAGAGAGGGTGGCGGCAGTCAATCCATCTTTAAAACCCCCATAATATACTTACATGTTACTGGATCTAGCTAGGCATGGAAACAATTTAAAACTGTAAAGAGTAAATAAGTCATTCTCAAACTTTAGGTGGTACACAGAAATCAACAAAAACACACACATTTTTTTAGTACATTAATTTTGAGGGGTTTATTTCAGCGGTACAAAATTCAAAGAGTTTGAAACCCTTGCTGTTGAGTTTCTATATGTTTTCCCAAGGGGGAAAAAAATCCAGGCAGATGATATGAATGTGATGTAATATTTTTAAAAAAGTGAAGAGAAACACATATCCTGAGTTTAAATATAAGTATGGCACAATAGTTGTTTAGCCTGCACGCCAAGTAGCTGCTGGGGAAGCTTTATAAAACAACTAACATTAATTGTCAGTTCATGGTGCAAATTTTCTCCAATCACAATCATTTACAAACGGACACTGGAGCATATAAAATAATATATTCCAAACATACAATTTTAGCAAAATTATGAAAAAGGGGATAATTTACAATAAACTATTGCATGAAATGCTGCCCTCTTGAGATTATTTGCGGGACTGGTGAGTTGAGTTTTGAGAGTAGCTACATCTATATGGCTCCAATGGATCATCTGCATGCGGCTGCAGAGAGTTAAAGCTTCGTTGTAGTTTTACAAATAACATAAAACTGTGTTTCGTTGCTAGGCTTACTAATGTGCCCTCAGATCTGGCTAGTCAAAGTCTTATCTCTGTTTAAAATTTGGTCTGGCCTCGTGACTAGAGAAAGACAAAAATGCTTATTTACCTCCCTTCAGGAACCTGTTCTAAGTTCTCAGAGGCTGATCACTTATTGCACTTCAAATGGAATGATTTTTATTTATGATCAATGTTGAATAGAAAGTTATTGATTCCTTAAAAACACAGGTTTGGTAATACAGTTAAAAAAAACTGATGCCCTCATGCACACAGACATCAGTGACAATGCTCTCATCTTTATTCAGCTATTGAGACAATCAGCTCAGTTGAAAATTTGGAAATCCTCTTTTTTCCTAAACCTAACATTAAGAAATCTTAAATGAAGTCTGATAAAAATGTATGCTTGCCATAAAGACACACCAACCCCTTCCTACAGCAGCTTAATTCAGTTTGCACTAAGTAGAAACATGGTTTACCTCACACACAAAGGGGTGGGCTAGGAAAACACAATTAACTTTTTCATATACAGCCAGTTCTTGATTTATACACAATACCAAAGTAGTTCTTGCACATTCATTACAAAAAATGAACAAATAAGATGCATGTTTTAGTCTAAATATATATTAAATAATTTTGATCAGGTTTTTAATTACATTTAACTTCTTACCATAGCATCTTGTATTTTTTTCGAATTTATTTTTATAGCCTTAATGCATTGGATAAATAAAACCAGGTACATGAAATATTGAATACAATGTTTTTCATATGTAAAAATGACCAACAATAACTAATAGCACCCAGAGGCATAGCTTGAGTGTCGTCCAGGGACAAGATTCATTTTTAGCCACCCTCAACTCTGAAACAAATTATTTTCATCAATAAAATACCATCAAAGTGACCCCCCCCCAACAGTCGTGCGCTAGGGGAAATCAATCCACCTCACCTTCACCTCCGATAGCATCAGATACACAGTGCATATTTAGGGGAAATCAATCCACCTCACCTACACCTCCGATAGCATCGAATACACAGTGCATATTTAGGTGGTTTGTGCATATATAAAAAAAAAAAAGCATAGAACAACAACCTTTAGGAACAGAACTTGTTCATAAATTAAGAACTCCCTGTTTTGAGTAGAAAGAGTACAATTTCAAAAGTGCTTATACAATAAAATGTATTAAAAAAAAATAAACGTTTTTTTTTTTTTAAAATACTAAGTACAGTCAGCCTAGATAGAGTTTATGAATATAAAAATTCAAAGGATTAAATTTAAAAGAAACAATGTCGACCAAAAAAGTTACACAAAATTTTTGTTTGGCTCGCAACTGTTGTGAACATAGAGCAAAGAATGGTCAAAAAGGTGTTTTTTTTGTACATTATTCGATCTATTGAATACCAAATGCAAGTCTTCCATCCCTATAAATTCAAAAATTAAAATTTTCTCATTTATTTTCCAATGATAAATCTGGCGAAAAAAGTGCATTATCATAATTTTTAACTTTACTGTCATTACAAACAATAAAAAAATATCGGCATAAATTTTTTTTAAAACACACATTAACCCTTTACAATCAGTAACGATGCTGCATAACTTATTTTCAACAGACCTGCAACAGGGAAAACCGATCTTACTCACTCAATAGACTTCTGTTGTAAAAAGACATCAAATGCAACCAATATTGACAACAAAAACAGTTGCATTGTGAAACCTACAACTGCATTCACTATTGCTATATTCAAACATTTTCTGAAAACTGGTTTGATGTTAATCATTAAAAAAAATTCTATAAAATAACCTGTTTTCTATCTCTTCTTCTCTGTTGGTACAAGACTCTTTTAAAAAAAGGGGGCCGGGGCTATAAATCAACATCTTAGCGCAGCGGTTCTCAACCTGTGGGTCACGAGCACGATTCTTTCCAAGGGGTCCACCTGAAAACACATATGCTCTATAGTTGATGAAGTAGCAACGAAAATAATTTTGTGGCTGGGGGTCGCCACAACATGAGGTACTGTCTGAAAGGGTCGCGGCATTAGGAAGGTCAAGAATCCCTGCCTTAGCGCATTTCGGTGAAATTTTAAAAAAAAAACAACAGCACAACAAGCAGAGGAATAAATTTCAATGCCCGAGAATTTTACTCTTGTGCAGACTGTTATGGCTGTTGCAATGTCAACAAAAAATATAGATAAAAGATCTTCAAGTCTTTAAACACTAATTTGATTTCATGTCATCTGATATAATGTACCTCTTACAGCTGGTATGCACAAATTTATAAATGCATCAAAGTAGGCACAACTATCAAATAAAAAGACTGTACAGTTAAAACAATTCAAACTATTTGCATGTATGTACAAGGTAAAGGAAAGCGAGACTTCAACAAACAAAATTTTCAGACATGTGACTGAGCCATTTAAAAAAAGAAAGGAAATAAGCTCAGATTTCCAGGCACTTGCATACACCAGGAGGCGCTACAGGGTATTCACCAGGTTTGCTTATAAGGTGTTGTTTTTTTTCTCCCAACATTTGCATATTATCTTATCTAGCAGAGGTTCTTAAACTCTTCTTTACCTGCAATCAACAATGGCAAATACAACCACTGGGGTACATTTGTTATTTTCCCCCAACAACTATCTTTGATAAAAATTTGCATATTAAGAAAAAAAGGGCTGCGGGTTAAGAAAAATAATAAAACAAGTTTAAGAACCTCTGTTTATATTAAATATTGCATTTCTAAAATTGGCAACATTTAATCCTTCCAATGCAACATTCTGAAATTTGCCGTGTTGCGCCTCCATAATCGTACTGAGCACACAGCATTCATCATGAAAGTTATATGTGAAAGATATTCAAATGTTTCGGTAAAACAGTATAGGGTAACAGACATCAGAAAATTTTCTTTTAATTTGTACTGTACAAAAAATGTAAAACCAGCCTTTGAAATTTGAGATTAAGTCAGCAAAGGCTTCACACGACATTATTAGTTTTTCATAACAAAAAAGTTCAACATCTAATGGATAAGCAAAAGTGAAGAATTCTCAAACTGACCTTGGTAAAGTGAACAGTTATCCAATACATGTAAGGATAAGATGTTCTCAAAATTAAATTAGAAATTTATTTTGTACAAGATACAAATCCAGGTAAGCTGCCAAGCAAAGGCCTAGGCTAAATTTTTGATAGCGTGAATTTAGCTTAAATTTGTTGACTTCACAAGTGAAGAGCCTGTCATCCTCAGCACCTTACTGCAGCAGTGATTTTTTGGCAGACGGAGTTCTGGAAAAATATTTGTGCCAATTATGAATCGTCAAAAGCTCAACAAAACTTACTTTTATTTGACAAGTACCCATCTTTTCGGCACAGCCTGACAATTTTAATTTTCTCTGCTTTATTACTAATACTAATAGCGCAAATGTTTGACTCCATGTAAAACAGTAAAATAATCTGCTAGATAAATTAGTAATTTCAGTAAGGTAAAAAATTATTATATGTACAAAGTAAACATCAAATTTATGCATGGTCAAGCCAAACTCAAGTCAGAGTTTTAGACTCCTTGTTCATGCCATGATACCTACTCAGCATTATCATCCAAGTTCAAGCGTTTCTTAGCAGATGCAGCTGGCCCTCTTCTCATCCTTTCATTAATATCTTTTAGCTTTTCAGAGGACTGCAAAACAATTTTTAGAAAAAGTAAATTAGATCAAAGTAAAGCAATAGCATTCTTATTTTTTTATTTCAAAATATTAGAATCTTAATTTTTTTTTTTTGTGTGGATATAATATAAATTATCAAGATTGAATATTTTAACTACCCCTTAAAAATAATTAGTCATCAATATAGGGATAAGGCAGCTTTTAAACATTGCTCATCTAATAAGTAATCAATGAAGCAGAATAAAATTAGAGTCAAAACCAACTCATCCCTTGAAGTACCGGTAGCAACAACAACCAAAATAGTTATTTAGCCAAGACTTACTCCAATACTGTCTCCGAAACTGTACAGTAACCTGGTGGACGGCGTCATCTGGCTTGGAGAACATGGGGCCTTAAACACTGACTCTTTCAGTGGAGATATGATGAAGTTCTTTTTTCCAGGCAGACTGCAAGTTAAAATAAGATGAAATGTAGCAATTGATCACAAGGTGCATCTGTGAAACACAAACTTCAACTAACACGAGGAGTTGAAAGACTTAAGGTGGTCCACGGGGGAAAATATCGATATTTATATAATTTTTATCAAAAATGAGATTATGGTGAATTTTACTAGATAAACATCTAAGGAACATTTTGGTTTTTACCATTTTCATTAAAAAATAATTTAAAGTTGTTAAAAATGTATTTTAAAGTAGTATGGTAAGAGCAAATTTTGACTTCTGGGGCAAAATTCAGGCCCCATAGACCCCCTGGCGCACCCTTCGCTTTTACAATATAATTACAACGCAATATAGTCATATTTGGTATCGATGGAAAGCTTAGCCTCTCTACTCGGTAATGGTATCGCCCACTAAAATGTTCAGAAATAAGGCTGGCGGGAGCTCTTTGTTCGGCAAAGCCTCTATATTTTCGCTCGAACAAATGTTCTTATTGGTCGAGATTTAAAGTTTCAATAAATCGGATATTGTCATTGGTCAGCTATTTTTAGACTTCATCAACAAGTCAGAAATCTATCCCACAATGCAATGGCCGTCTACCAAATTCATTGTGTCCAGTTGGCGTAACCTTTTATCGATCGATCGACTTTACTTTTGCAGTCTTCAAATAAATTCAAATTTGAACTTATTTTTTTGCTTTGAAAAGGTAAGTTGAATTAATTATTGTATAATTTAATTTATATTAAATAGTTTTAGCTAGTTTTAGGCGTTCGAGTGAAGGTTGAGCTAGGTTTCGTATAATAATACAGTGTCATTATCACTAGGGCTAGTAACTAGTAACTAGGCCTACTTACTAGTGACTAGTACTAATACTACTACGAAACAGTGATATACGCAGACATATAAAAATGTAATGAGCGTAGGCTTATGAATCAAATTGAAAGCTACTTTATGCCTAAATATACAAAATTGTAATACAAAAAATATTTCAATATATTCATTACTATTTTTCTTTACGTTCGTGTCCTTACACGTCTCTAATTTGATGTGATTTTCAATTTTCGTTGTCAACAACATTTATGAGATGGTAATATTGATCAATGTAAATGAATGCAAAATTTGAATAGGCCTAGAGTGTAGGATTTCCTAATTTGTACTTATTAAAACAGATAATAATAATGTAATAATAGTAGAAATCTTGCCATTTCCTTAGATTTAAAAAAACAAAAAAATACTGATTCTATTTACCTTTGCCAGGCTAACTAGGAGCTAATTGCTCAGTCTAATACTAATATAATTTTATGTTTCAAAAGCTAATATAAACATTTTTTTTTCCATAATACAGAAAATCCCTGTCCCCAAGAACAAGTGATCCAAGTCCAAGTAACTAGAGAAAGCCAGACTAGCACCAACTTCACCGCAAGCCTCAGCACTAGCCTCACCGCAAACTTCGGCACCAGCCTCACCGTCAGCTTCGGCACCAGCCTCACTGCCAGCTTCGGCACCAGCCTCATCGCCAGCTTTGGCACCAGCCTCATCGCCAGCTTTGGCACCAGCCTCATCGCCAGCTTCGGCACCAGCCTCAACGCCAGCTTCAATATCTGAAGAATCTATGGCATCGTATGCTTCGAAGAACAAACTTCATGCTTTGGAATATCAATCATACCATAGGCTTCTCTGCCTCATCTATCATGCAGATAGATGCCCTCTAGCCCATTTTTCAAACGTTTTCATGCCCAGTATGCAAGTAGGACACTTCAAGGTTCACAGTGGTGAAAATAACTTTATAGACTAGCGTTATTTTTAAAAGTCGTATGTAATGTATGTGACGTTGTCATCCCATCATCTGACACGTTAGTTGTATGCAAAGGCAACATTTTTTATGTCGGCAAAAGAGCTGCGACAGCATCATTAGTGACTGGATTGTGGCATGCTGGTATGGGGAAGTTTTTCCAAATAATGGATGTACCAAACATTCACCAAAAAACAATCGACCAGAGTGCTACACTACCACCCTGCATCAATCGCTACCAATCTACAAGGATAAGTTGCAGAGGTAGTAGACATTGATGATGGTCCTATGATGGGAGTTGGCTCACTCAGGAGGGATAGTGTTATATCTAAATACCTCACACTCACATGATAGACAATTTTTCCAGAATTTTTTATATAATCATGTTATTTACGACAAGGGGTTGCTTTTAAAAACATGACTTTTATATTGTTTTTTCATTTATGAATAGTATATGTACATGGTATATGCATCCAATGTTGTTAAATAAGTAGACTTTAATTTTTTTTTAAATATTTTGTTTTTCTCAACTTTGCGTTTTTTCAGATTTTCAGGAATGCCAAGCCAAATGCATCACGAGGAAAAGTATTATAGCTACAGACTTCAAACTTTCCATGCTTTTTACCATTGATATTATCTACATAATAACACCTCCTTCTTTTAGATATGTCAAGCAGAGATTTAAAAATTATTTTTATTATTATTATATTTTATTTGGGATGGGGGTTGTTATTTTGAAAACGTGACTTTATTAATTTTATGTGTTTTATATCTGTGTTTTTTTTATTTGTTTTTTAATTTATGAATGGTTCTTGTACATGGTATATACATCCTACATTGTTCAAGTAGTCTTTAATTAAAAAAAAATTATTTTTCGTTTTTCACAACTTTGCATTTTTCAGATTTTTCATGGACGCGAAATGTATCAGGAAGAAAAGTATTACAGATACAGGCTTCACACTTTCCATGCTTTTTACCATTGATATTATCTACATAATGACATCTCCCTCCTCTGGATCAGTCCAACAGAAAAATTTTAATTATTTTTTTATTGTTATACACTTTTTATTTGGGACAGGGAGGTTGATGTTTGAAAATATGACTTTGTTAATTTTCTATCTTTTATATCTGTTATTTTTATATTGGTTTTTCATTTATGAATAGTATATGTACACGTTTTATGCATTAAATCTTGTTCATGTAGTCTTTAATTTTTAAAAAAAACATTTTTGGACTTCTTTTTCGTTTTTCTCAACTTCATGTTTTTCAGATTTTTTAGGAATGCCAATTGCATCAGGAGGAAAAGTATAACAGCTACAGGCTTCAAACTTTCCATGCTTCTTACCATTGAAATTATCTACACAGTGACATCTCCTTTTTTCAGATCTGTCCAACAGAACTTTTAAAATTATATTTTTACATATGCTACCCCCAGTATTTTGCCAGAAAATTATGTGACTCCACAAATATGTCATTTGTAGATGCTCCAATAACTGTAATGCAGAAAGCTTTTGTAATTTTTTTAACAACTCTATTGTTAATGAGTGTGCAAAGTTTCATTATGATGTTGATAAATCTTTTGGGTGTTGATACATTTTGCGTAACTGTCAATATTTGTATAAAATTATATAATTTTTGCAATAAAAGTCAAAAAAATTTTTTTTAAAATAAACTTCTATGTTTTTTTGTCTTTCTATTGGTGTATAGTTAGTATGTACTAAAAAAAAAAATTTTAATTTAAGAAACATAGAAAATTTTTTTTTTACCCATGGACCACCTTAAGCGAACTTATTTATTATTTTTTTTTTTTTTAAGTATTAGTTGGAAAGAATTTTTTTTTTTTTAAAATGATATGGATTCGTTTGCAAATTTTAAACTTATTGTGGATGTACTATTTTTAGCATTAACTTCTTATCTGTATTAAATTCATTATTAAGCAAATAAAAAAACATTTGAAACCCTTTTCTCGGTGTGCTCTGGGAACAGTTTTTGCAAAAAATGTTAAATTTATTAAGAAATAATGATGACCAAAGCCATTAAACAAAAGTGTGTCACTAGTTTATATTCCTCTTTGTGACAGGGACTTCAGGTTTGAAATGTTAGTAGCAGATTGTCTAGCTTAAGTGGTTTTCATGAAGTTAAAAAATTGTTTTTCTCATCCACAGACAATAATTAACTGTAATTTTGCAAAATCTGAAGGAATCTGATTTAACATTAATAGAAAATAATAATAATAATACCAGTAGCCTGGAGACTGTTTAGGTCTTGGTGAGAGCGTTGGTCTCTGCAAGGAACAAAATTTTTTGGAACATCTTATGTCACTTGCTAAAGTGCATACAGTTTTATCTAATTTAGAAGCCTCATCCTAAATCAGTGGTTTTTAAAGTGTATGCTGCACGAACAATGCAATAACATAATTTTATAATGTATACTAGCATTGAAAGTATTATGAAACTCCCTACCACATCCTTATTGGGTGAAAACTGAAGAAGATACATCTTGATGTTCTGTACAAATATGCTGTTGTAGAAGCTGATAATTGAGTCAGATCTGTTGGGCCCCATGTAGACATCTCTGAAAATCTGTGGGTGAAACCGCAAGTAGAATTATTATTGGGACATTTCTTGAGACAAGATGGGTGGTGCCTTTTTGATGATGAAATACAAGTTAATAAAAAAGCTATGTCTGAGGTTCTATCACAGACACTCTAATGTCTCATTTAACTGTACCCCTGCCCAATTTATTTCATATTTAATTTAATATACTTGTGACATAATTGTTATGATACTTTCACCTTCCTTCATTTCCATAAATCTTTGAAAAATTTGATGCAACATTTTCCATTACATTAAAAAAATTGATTTTCTTTTTTTTTCAGTTATCTTAAGGTCAAGGCCATGTATAATAATATCTATTAACTGTTCAGTTACCTCCTGTTTTGCATGTGGCAAATGTTTATATTCTTGAACAATAGACTTGAATCTAATTTCCTGCTCAGCCACCTTACAGATTCCATAAATGCTGCACATGATGATCTTGAGGAAGATAATTTTAAATATTTGTTGAATGAGCTTTACATCCTAGCATCAAATCCAATATTTTTTTGTTTAGTAGACAACACAAGCAATGATGGAGTGAGGAAACCAACTTGAGAAAATGTTTTAAGTTTACTAAATTAAAATCTGTTTTGCAGACGGGAACCATTGGGGCGATTTAGTAACATAAATGGAAGTTAAAACAAATGCTGGATCAAATGCTGTTTATGCCAGATTTCCAAAGTTCTTTAAAAAAACATATAACACACAAAAAATCTCAAACATTACCTGGTCAATGTGGCGATTTTTCAATAACCTTGACAGGTTTGTAACACAGTATTCAAAGCAAGTCCAGATTTTGTGCTCCTATACAGAAATATTTTTGTTTAAATACCATTTATATATATATTATATACACACATACAAAACAGTAAATTATTTCTGACAAGATCTATTACAAGAACTACCAGCTTCCAAACAGAAAAGAATTAAATCAGAAGAAATAAAATTAATAATGATAACAAGTAGACTATTTACATATTTGGTAATCTGCAGATTTCTAATGTAATTTTTTTGCTTTTTCTATTAATGAAGAAACTCACCAGATCTTTGGAAATGTGAAGATCACTACACAATCTTGTCAAACGAGAGTAACCAAGTCGCAGCACTGAAGGATAAGACAGCACAACATGAAACTTTGTTAACAAACATAATTTGACACCTTATACTATTAGTGATGTTTGTTTTTTGTTGTTAGGGTAAAAAGGGGGGAGACTGCAATCAGGTTAGAACAGGAAGTGAGTAAAATAAAGTAAGGTTAAACCTGAAAAAAGGAATGCAACAAAACAACAAAAGTGTCAGCAGGAAGCCTTCATCAACGAACCAACAGAATAAAATTAAAAAATAGCACTCAGCTGAGAAGTAGTATCTGAGAGGGCAGCAAATTGAATTGTGCATCCGAGAGGGCAGCAAATGAATTCATTTTTAATTTTATTCTGTTTTTTCTGTTTGTTCGCCGACAAAGGCTTCCTGCGACACGTTCGTTGTTTTGTTGCGTTCCTTTTTTAGGTTTAACCTTACTTTGTTTTACTCATTCCTTTTTTGTTTTCGTCCCTCGAATGTGACAATGACCAGAGCAATGAATGTGACAATGACCAAAGCAATGAATGTGACAATGACCAAAGCAATGAATGTGACAATGACCAAAGCAATGAATGTGACAATGACCAAAGCAATGAATGTGACAATGACCAAAGCAATGAATGTGACAATGACCAAAACAATGAATGTGACAATGACCAAAGCAATGAATGTGACAATGACCAAAGCAATATTTGATGGGAGAGCATGCAGGTGGCATGTCGGTCCTATTTATTTGTACCGTATTAATAATACTAATACAAAGCACAACAAGCTATGCAAACAAGCCATAATGACTCAATCGATTCTATTCTTTTCTCCATAGACAGCAATAAAACAAAATAAGCTCACTTTAAAAGGGACTAAAGATAACTACCTGCTGTATGAACAGGATTGATGTGCATGCCCCAACCCATGACCTTTTAACTTAAAAACAGTTCATTGCATAGTTAAGTTTGACAATTCTTTATAATAATTAGTGGTCTTATATAGCGAGGTACCCCAGCCTTGGGCTGGGCTCACCGCGCTGTACATAAAAATATTATCAAAAGAGACATAATCATGACTTTAAAATAAAATACATTTATGAAATAAAGAACAGTGTGTAGCCTAAGCAACATAACAAATGCATATTCACCCACCCCACAACTTTTACATGGCAAACCATGGACGGCAGCCAGCAGGATCGTTTATCGGTCAAAGGAGGGGAATCGGTCAGGGTAGTATAGTTTAAAGAGATATGTTTTGAGTGCAGTTTTGAAGCCCTGGGTGGTTGGTATATTGCTGATGTGTAGTGGCAAAGAATTCCATTGTTTGGGGGCGCAGAAAGAGAGATCGATCACCATGTGTTTAAGTGTGTGTCTTGGGAACGGACAGAATATGCATGTCTGCAGAGGAGCTAAGCTGTCGAAGGGGTGACTAGAAAGAAAGAAGTTCGGTTAGATAGGAAGGGCAGGAATCCGAGAAAAAGTTGTGACAGAGAACAGACAACTTGTAGTCAATGCGTGCCTGAATAGGGAGCCAATGAAGTGAGTGAAGTAGTGGAGTGACGTGATCACGTTTTTTTTTGCCTTTAGAAATAGCCTAACAGCTGAGTTTAGAGCTTTCTGCAGTTTTTCTATGCAGTAAATTGGTGAACCTGACAGTGACAGAAAAGAGTTGCAATAATCAAGACGAGAGAGAACAAGAGCACAGACTAAGAGTTTTTGTAGCGCTAACTGTGAGGTAGTGGCGGATGGAGCTGATCTGACGGATAGCGGTGTATGCCAAACGACAAATGTGAGAGATATGTTTATCGAGAGACATGTTGTTAGAAAGAATATAACCAAGATTCCTAGCAGAGGGTGTAAACTGTATGTCGGAGTTACCTCCTTGAAATGAGGTGGGAAGAGTTGAGGTAGAGGATGATGTTTGATTGTAAATGAGGAGTGCTTCCGTTTTTTCATCATTAAGCTTCAACTTGCCGAGTGTCATCCATGACTTGACATCAATGCACCAACAAGAGAGGGATGGGTATGCTTGTATAGCTGCATGTCATCTGCAAATGACTGGCTCTCAACAGCATGCCTCCCAAGCAAAAGGAGCAGTGGTCTGGTATACAATGTGAAAAGAACCGGGCCCAAAACGGGCCCCTGTGGCACTCCGTACACCAAATCAGCACTGCCTGAGAGACAGCCATCGACAGAGACCGCCTGCGTTCTATCAGAGGTAGGACATAAACCAAGCCAAAACTGAACCAGGAATTCCAAAGTAATTTTCAAGGGTTTTGAAAAGGATTTCATGGTCAACAGTGTCAAAGGCCGCAATGAGGTATAAGAGGATTAGGATGGAGACATTACCGTTGTCCTGTGGAAATGTCAATAGGCCGACTGATTAGAACTGATAAGAGAGTGATCAATTAAATAAGCAAAAAGCTGTTTCAGAACTAGTTTTTCAATTACTTTAGATAAAAATGATAAGTTAGATACAGGTCTATAATTTTTTTAATTATTTTCATCCAGACCAGGCTTCTAAAGCAATGGTTTGATAACAGCTGATTTACAAAGAGGGGAATCAGTGCCAGAAGACAAGCTTTCATTTATTGTGTGGGTTATCGTTGGGAGCAAATGATCTAATGACTCAACCAACAGGGGGTTGGGGATAGAATCCAAAGAACATGATGTAGGTTTAGATTTTAAAATTATACCTTTGACCTCAAGTTTTGAAACAGGTTTAAAAATATCGAAATGTGAAGTAAGACAAGGGAAAGGAGGCAAATCAATGGGTGGTGCATCAAGACGATCAAGCTCAGCGCGAATGCCAGCAACTTTGCTTATAAAGAAATTTTAAAAAAATATATCTGGTTGCTGGGGCAAAGGAAACACTGAAGGAAGAGCAGTCCCTTTGTTACTCCCTCTAAGGTGGCTACAAACATCAAACAACTGCCTGCTGGTGTTACCCATAGTTATCTTTTGAGTAAAATACGAAGTCTTAGCATGACAAACAATCTGAGTGAAACACTTCTTGGCAAGGGAAAAGATCTGCCTAAAAACCACAAGACCTGACCTCAACCACTTCTTTTCTGCACTACGCTGCAATTTCTTGGCAATGTGTAGTTCTTCCCTTATGGTCGCATACCAGGGAGATGACCGCGTTAACCTAAAATTGCGGCGGCTGACAGGGGCGTGCTGGTCAAGCACAGCATGCAATCCACGATCTAGCGTTGCCAATGTAGGACAGATTATATACTAATAATCTCTTCATTTCAGTAAGGTAGGTTGCCATAACAGTTCTAGTATGCAGATAGTCATAGTTCCTAGGAATAACCAATGTCCACACAGTATGAGTGCAGTACCATATAAAGGAGTCAGTTAAGAGCATTTAAAACTCTGAAAATTATCATCGGAACTCCAAGAAACATGCTGGAGACTTACATTTAAAATAATTACAAACCTCGTTTAAGAAAATGTGTCAGTGATTGAGATTTGGGCTGTGAAGGTAGTCGGCCAGGGCTGGCATCATTGATCAAAGGCTCAGAGGAGGTGGCTGCCTGATGTCTTGAGGGTGAGGAGGAAGGAGATGGGCTTTGCTGCTTGACGGGGGACAAAAACCTGGTAAGGAATGTATAATTTTAAAAATGAGTATCAACATTTTTTTAGTTGCAAAATATTTCCAAGTGCAAAAAACCCAGATATAATGACATTTTGCACATTTCATTTTAATAAAATTTAAAAAATCAGTTTAAAGAATATGTTGCAAAATATTATGAATTAGAGTCTCAACTAAAACTAAAGGCAGGAGTTATATAGTTTTTGCAAGAGAAGATGGGGAAAAAATGAGATTTTAAACTTTAATGTTATAAATGTTACAAGAGCTGGGATATAACTGCAGTCAACTGTTTCAAAATAAGCCTTTTGCAAAAAATTAACTCAACCCTTTGAAATTATCTAAAATCATTCACTAATGCCTGTGACAACATGCAATATTTCGATAAATTAACTTTGCCCCTGAGAACTGCCTTCATTCATAATTTTTTTAAACTCACAAGTCCACGGCACACTTGCTTGGTCCATTGGTACTGTGTGGACTGCCATCTTGAGCTTTGACTGGGGAGGCTGGGATAGGCGGAGTCATTTGGCCCATGTCCCAATCTCCTATCACATCAAACAACATGGAGTTCTGGAGCAGAAAACAAGATCAACATCCAGTCTCACATTAACTTTAAGAATTATTTTTTTTAAATGAATGTTTGATATTTTATTGCTTTACAATTTTTAATTAACCTTAACTGTAATCAAATATTTGTAAAAATTGATACAATTTTTTTTTAAATGTATTACCTCCTTCCAGGCCAAGCTTTCTAGAATTCTTATTTCAACATTCTGGAGATGCTTAAAACGAAAGAAACCAAAATTTTTTTTTATTTAATATGCCACGAAAATGATTGTATATGCGCTCCTTTAATTCAAGCAATGTTGCTTATTTATAAAATGCAGTCTTCAAATAATTTTGAAAAAAAAAAAGAAGGAAAAAAAGAAATTAATGATAACAAAAGTTTCTGTTTTTTTCAATAATATTCCTAAAATGGCTGTCAAATATTAAAACAAATATGTAATTCTTAACATTCACAGAAGAAAACTTCCAAAACAATTATTACCTCTGTAATTGAAGACCTTACTTCTAAAAGTGCTTAAGTTACAAAGTAATTATTTTGAGATAAACCAGTTCAAATATTCAAACTGACCTTAAAATCGGGCAAGACATCCTAATATATTTCTTGTTAGTGCTACATAATAAATAAACTTGCTAATTTTTTATCTTTAAATGTAAAAACCCTCATTTTTTTTTTAAAATAAAATTATGGATAATTTAGTTCTTATGTCAAACAAGTACTTATTTAAGATTTCACAACATTGTTTACATTAAAAAAATGTTCTCAATACCTTGACAATATCTGTCGCTAACTTTGGTTCTGCCTTAATAAAGCTTTCAATAACTTTATAGAACTCATAAACTTGAAGAGAGAAAACATCTAAAATCCAAGGAAATGAAAATATTGTTTCCTGAGAGTTGGACCCATCTGTTGGTTGTGCCCCTGTAAATAATAATACACAATAAGAGAAGTTTTAAAAAATATCCTATGTTTAAATATAGTATGTTTATACAAAGAATTTGAGCTTTAAGTTACAGGAGAGATGGCTAGCATGGGAATTAACTTCCAATCCTTATCAATGCATATGGAGTACATCCAAATGATTGTAACGGCTTGCCCCTAGCTGCAGCCTACTTTTTACAATTTGGGTTGTTTCCGAAATCATGGTGTTTCTAAACTTAATTCCAGTTGAGTAGGGCTGATTCAAACAGATCCAATAATACACATTTTTAATGAAATTTATACTTTTACTCTGAAATATTTATTTCCTCTTAATTCACAGTAGCAGCAACCAATCAATGTTTACTAAGCCAAACCATGACAACCACCAATAACATGAAAGCGGAATTGTTTAAATCAATAATTTGCTCTCCTAAAGGTTATAACCCATACAATTTTTTATTAACATTTTTCTGCTCTAAATAACCTTATTCATGTTTCATTTGTGCCTGATACTAATGTCACATAGACAATAACGTACTTATTAACCTCTAAGAAATATAATTTAGAGACATTGTATTCAGGCGACATCCCAGAGCATATGGTTAATATATTATGGGTATTGTCAGACCATGAATGTTGTATGGTACATACATGTTTGCCCATAGGTAGTAAGGACAACTTCTAGGGCACAAGCCAGAAGGGCCTTATGGAAGCTCTCTTTGTTGAGCAGAGTACTTAATACATGTGGAGAAAGGTGCTCAGATTCCTGAATGGAAAATGTTATTTTAACATCAAATTTTGAAAATTTAAGACAAATCTCATAAAAATGATATAATGAAAATTGTTAAATTAAATAAAAGACTGATGTTTGTGATCAAAGTATCAGTTTTATGATCATTTGTGAATAAAAGTGCGCAGCTTTAATTTGATATACTTATACAAGTACAATTATGAACCAGAATTTTTAGTAGTCACAAAATACTCAAGTGAAAACATTAAAAGAAAAACTGAAAACTAAAATCAGATCAGTTATATACGTCAGTGAAATTTGGACCCTAACAAATCACAGAGAGAAAAGTTATGGACCAACAAAGGATGATTATGGAAGGAGAATAGTGACCCAAACCCCCAGAGGAAAACAAATCAAAGACATAGGCTTATATGGATAGACGACATGGAAATGGTTCTACAGCAGCTGGGAATCCAAGCACGAAAAAGATAAGCATAAGTTAGGTCTGAGTGGAAGGAAGTGGTGTGTCAGGCAAAGGCACCACAGGGATGGATATTTTTTTTAACTAAAAAAACTATCTACTTACTGTCATGAGTATAGTCTCTAAGATCTTCAGATACATTCTAACCCCAAGAACAAAACGATTCTCTGCTACTGTGGTGGGAGGTGTTGCTGCTGGACTAGCAGCCTGGTATTGCTGTACAAATATCTCCTTCAGGCTGTCAATCAATGTCTTGATATTTCCACTGGGATCTTGAGTGCACCTCTAAGAAGACGAAGAAAAAAAATGAATTCAACAAAAACAAAATAAACTCAAATAAAATGATGAATTGAATTTTATGGCATTATTTATCATGGCACTAGTGATAAGAATTGCTGATAATTCAAAAACTCCACCTTAAAATAAGATTCCAGTTTTTCACTTGGCTTACTGGGCAGTCCAGAAAAGTTCTTTTGGAAACTCTGCACAGTGCTTACTGCAAGTCTGCCAACAACAAAGATAAGAATGAATATAATAATTCATACATTATTTTTAACAAAGTAAACCTAAATAATTTTTTTTTTAAAAATCATAATTGCAAAAATGCACAGAAAAAACTTTTTAGCGAAGCAAATTTTCATCATTAAAAAAGCATTAAGGTTGCAATAAATCTGATACCAATAGCCTTTATTTCAATAAATCTGATACCAATAGCCTTTATTTCAATAAATCTGATACCAATAGCCTTTATTTCAATAAATCTGATACCAATAGCCTTTATTTCAATAAATCTGATACCAATAGCCTTTAGTTCAATAAATGCCACAAATAAGTCCCTCACATCATCTATCTACTGAGATCTGGGAGGAGATTTTTTTCTGCAATAATTACAATCTCATTTAATATTATACTCTTTAGCATGACATGACTATCTTTTAATGTTTTCCCAAGATTTATTAAATTACTTTTTATTTGGAGAACCTGCACCACCACCCAGATTACAAATTTCCAATATTATACCAATGCAAATTTATTTTATTGTGTACGTTTTTAAAATTATTTTTTTTAACATTTGCTATTGCATTAAAAGAACTTGCCTGACAGGGGTCATTAATTCAGAGGGTAATGGCGTTGCATTCTCCTGGCTTTCAATTCTGAAAGTTGATTTAAATTTGTTGAAGAGAATAATATTGAATGCTAGTTGCATGCCAAAAAAAATCTATATATTAAGGTTTTTTTAATTACTTAATACTTATTAGACAATCATGTGCATGTTAAAATCCAAATTTACCTCTTAACAGCCAAGGAATGCAAATATGAGTCTTTTGATAAAAAGTGGAGTTCATTGATGTCCCCTTCCCTCTGGAACGCACTTTCATACTCTTCACAGAGACCATCAGACTGTGGCAGGAAATAATGAATCATCATACCAATTAATCTCAAACACTCTTAGACACATTCCAGTATGCAGGCACATTTGAAGTCTATTTAAATAATGTTTTGCTTTGGTCTGATTTATATGAGACAAAACAGACAAGCGAATGTAAGCTTCTAAAAAAAAAACATTTTAAAGAGTTATCTGTAATTTATTTCAAATACTCAAAAGTATCATCATGATAAAGTCCCTTAGACCATTGGGGCGCCACAGATGACATGTGAACTATCCTCCTCCATCCTCCACACTCAAAAGTATACATTTAAAAAAAAATACTTACATCTAATTCACCATCTTCATTGAGCAGACTTTGAAAGAAGCTCTCCGTACTCTCAATATGCAGCTGCAGAGTCTTAGAAAAAATAGCATTCTTTGAGAAAACACACCTTATTTGTGCTTTGTAAAATTAGCAATTTACAATGAAGATCAAATTAAAAAAATTTTTACTCTGCAAAAAAATTTTTTTTATTGGATCTCCAGAGTTTCAGCAATATATATTTTAATAAAATTGTCTAGCCAAGAATTTAATGATTAACAATTTAAAGATGATATACCAGAGTCGCTTAGTAAGAGGTTTGGAAATCGTAACTACCTGGTCCACTGCAACACTGAAGTCTTCTGCTAACCTTCCTAGCATTGTGACACCTTGTTCATGGGTATTGTAGCAACCAATTCGAATAGAATCTGTGGGGAAATAAAAATTTTATTTTAAAGGCTGACATGAGCTATGAAATAAATCAGAATTAAAAAAGAGTTTAATCTATATATCTAGGATTTAGAATGTTACATTCCTTTTACAGACCTGTTTACCATCAAAATCATAAAATCGTACAATATCATCACAAAATAGTACAATAAAGTATCTTAATAGTAAATAAATAAACAATCATACAGTACATATAACATATAACTACTCGCATTGTGCGTCTAACAAAAATGAGTTAAGCTTGCCTAAAAAATAGGGAACTGAAGATAAAAAGTAGATGACTGACGTTTATCTGAGGTCACTTTGTTTTGCAGACATATATCTGTTATAGATATCAATTAATACATGAACGAAAATAGGGAACTGAAGATAAAAAGTAGATGACTGACGTTTATCTGAGGTCACTTTGTTTTGCAGACATATATCTGTTATAGATATCAATTAATACATGAACGAACGCGCAGATCACATTATCCCAGGCTGTCAATGGTAAAAATAAAGTTACTGGTGAAATTTAACGTGGTTCAAACTCGAAGTCACATCAAAAGTTGTAAATGGGTGAAAGGAAGAGGGGATATAAAAAATCATACAGCTGTTTTGCGCATTCTAATATAAATTTAAATTTCCCCCTTAGATCCTTTAAAATATTTCAAAATCTAATATTGCTGTGCAGACCAGTTTGAGAATGGATTCTCTAGTCTTCTGTTTTCTCGCCGCGGTTCAACCGTAAGAAATAATTATGCCATAAAATTACATCATACAGCACCGAAGGAAACAACGCGAGGACGGGGTCATCTATATAGTACATAAGCAAAAAGTCTCCTGCCAGCCTCTAGCCCCATTGATCGCACTTTTTTTTATGACCCCCACCCACTTGTTTACGTACGAGCTTTCCACACCACCCTTAAAAAAAAATTCATCCAATAATCTTTATATAATTATGAGTACAAAATCGCAACTTTAGGCGAACGCTGCTTACATGACCTGGCGCCGTCCTATCTGAAAGAGCTGCTTACGCCTTATGTACCCACTAGAGAGCTCCGCTCATCCGATAGTGGCAAACTCTCGACACCACGTGTTTGCCTTGAGACTTACGGAAAGCGCACTTTCGCACTTGCTGGTCCAACAATGTGGAACGCCCTTCCAGTCGATCTCAGAAACAACCAGACACTGGAGTCCTTTAAAACCGATCTAAAGACACATCTATTTCGCAAATACCTTCTGGGATGATTTGTCTACCTTATTTTCCAGTTAATGCATAATTGCTGTGTTGCTCCGGGTTGAAAGGGCTAGAAAGACTTTGAGATTGTATGCTTGTAATTAGTTTTTGTAGTGTTGCGTTTGTTTTAAATGTGGTAAATTATAGATATGTTTTTTGTTGACTTTGTACCGCGTTTCGACCCTTTGGGGATGAAGCGTGTTTTTGAAATGAACTTTATTATTATTATTATTTATGTTACTGTTACATTACTAAACAAAATGTGACACGGGTTTTCACCGCTGGCGGTTTGGCGCGACCTGTGGTTCCCAGAACATAAGCCGCATCGCCCTGGGGACTCGTTATCCTTGAGCAGGGCCAAAATCATCTTTAGAAAGGAACTTAATATTGAATTAAACTATAAACTCCCATTTACTTCACAAAGACAAAGGGCGCTAAAAATAGTCCTTTTACTGGTCAGCACAGGGGTGGGGGGTGCACATTTTTCTCAAATGGGTTGCTGCGGCTTCCTCACAGAGGCGTTGCAAAGTATTACAAAATTGTCTAACTTTGTTTCCATTTTTAATCCACTGTACAAACAGTAATCCGCTTGAGTAACTACTGTTTGCAGTTAGTAGATGGTGGTTAGTGACCTACATACGTGTTATATTTATTTTTACCCAACCCTTTATTTTGTTTATGAGTTTATATATTGGCTATTTCGAAGTGTGCTTATTAGAATTTAACACAGAGAGCCTAGTGAAAACTTGAATTTGGTATAGGCACCAGGAAACAAAATTTTAGAGCCACTGGCATAGCCCCACAAAATATGTCACATACGTATTGACCATATGGTGGACTACATATTACTATAATAACTTAACTACTTAGTACTATCTTACTATATCTAGCAAGTTCATTTGTGAAAATACATGGCAACATTATGAAGATGATTTGTACAAAACATTGCATGATATTTATACAGCATTCAAGATTTAAAAATGCTGTTTTTGGACTTTTCAGGTTTATGGATGGATATTGCAGAGTTTTCGAATAACTTACGTACTTTCTACCAAGGACACCCCCCCCCAATCATTACAAAAATGTTATTGTTACTAGTACAGAATTGAATATTTGGGGGACCCCCCCCCCACACACACACATCTTACACATAACCTCCCAAATCAATAGCACTCCATTTCCCTCTCAAGAAACGTAATGTCATTATAGTATAATTATTTGATGGTCCCCAACCAATTGAATTTTCTGATACATTTACTGCTGGATGTGGAACTTTTTAATTTTTTTTATCATTTTTTAAATCAGAAAAAACTACCACAATATTTACCACAACCCCCTCTTTTGAAATCGTAGTTCTGGCTGGTCTCAGCGTACAATCGTAAAAGATATCTCAAAATCGTACACTGTACGCCAAAATCTTAAGAGTAAACAGGTCTGCTTTTACCAGAAACGTTCCATGTTTCATTTAAAATCGCAAAAGTATTTTATCAATATTTATTTTAAATTATTCATTATGAGTAAATTATTATATAATCATCATCACCCAACCCTCACAATGTGTATAAACTTATCAATGCATTCAAAGATCTTTAAAAAAAAATATGAATTTTTTTATATATATTTGTGTGGGTGACAACTCTAAATAGAGGATTAAGTGTTAGTGACTGGCCATCAAAGAAAAAACTTAAATAATACATTATATGTAAATACGTGTCAATACCGTAAGGAGAATTGAGCAAAAATGATGGGGTCTGGCGAAGGACAAACTCTACACAACACAAGAGTAGCTGAAAGTGTTGAAAAAGTTCCTGGTTACCAGGTAACAATTGCTCTGAAATTATTTCAAAACATATTGTTAGACATGTGTAATTATTTAAAACAAAAACTCTCTTATTAAACTCTACAGAAAATAATCATGTATATTGTTAATGTATTCTTTCAAATTTCAATTATTAAAAAAAAAAAAACGTGTTAAAAACTTAGCACAAAAAGTTAACATATTTACCTTTTGACAGTAAGTATAACACCCAGCATTGTTTTTTCCTGTACGATAAACCTTCTGTCTCGGGTATAGGAGGCAAATAGCTGTCCCTGATAAATAAACAAAAAATGTAATTTCCAATTTGAAATTTTAAAAAAAAATCATTTTAAGGTAAATGGTTTATAAATTTGCAAAAGATCATCTTAGGAATCATATAGTCTGTTTCAGGATCCCACACTAGTAGCAGAAATAAAAAAAAGGAGGGCCGGCTACGCTGGCGGGGACACATAGAATACCAAAATGAGATGAGTGAAGAAGGTGCACCACAAAAACACCCAAAAGAAAATGGCTCAATGGCAGACAAAGGCTAAGATGGATGAATAAAGTGGAAAAAAAATCTATAGCAGCTGGGAATTTAAGCATGGAAAAGTAAAGCATTAGATAGGTCTGAGAAGAAGGAAGTGGTGAGGAAGGCCAAACCCCTACATGGGCTGTAGCGCCACAGGGATGGAAATTTTTATCTTAACAAGACATCCAAAAGTAGAAATGTAGCATGTGACCTTTACTTTTATTTGATAAGTACAAGACCCTTTATTAAAACAACAATGTAACATTGCACAAAAATATGATACAACAAGCAAACTATTAAAAAATTGATTAACATACTCTGAGCATCCACTGGTGCTTTCTTTAAATACAGATGAACAAAGCCGCCTGAAATGTAAAAAAAAAAATTTTTTTAGCTATTATATAATCAAACTGGCAACTGTATAGATTTTCTTTCCTTTTTTTTCAATGACAAATTATAATTATACAAACACATGAAATGGAGTATTAAAACATCTCAGTCCTACTGCATATGGCTATTATTGGTACTTATTTCATTAAAAATATTAAAATTATTTTTTTTAGCCCTACCCATCAAATGCATGGTATAATGCGGAGACAACCAGGTAATTTCTTTCAAGTTTCACCAAGTGGTCTTGGACAGATTTGGAAAGTGAAATTAGATTTTTTATTCTTGTCATGGCTTGGAAGAAACTTTTGATGCTGTTAAAAAAAAATAATAAGTAGAGAAAAAGGCTTAAAAATGTTTTATGTATACATCCAAAAATAAATAAGTTTACTTTTTTTTTTCTCCTTTCATTTACCTATAAAATGTGTATAATCCTGGCAAATAAACAAATATGGACACCTTTCTTGGAATCTAAACAAATGGTATGCTCAAATACACAAATTCAGGCTCCATATATATAAAAATAACATAAAAGAAGTTGAAACAAAATGAATGAAAACAAAAGAAATTATTATCTAGAAAAATTATAATTAAGCATCCTAAAACCTACTTAATATTTGCCTTGATTAGGATATCAGTCACCGTAATTGAGGGTTCCAAGGAGTTTTGTTCAAGCAATGGATCCATTGGCCCATAGGGAAGCCTAAGGAAAAATCAATACAGATAAAAATAGAAGATATGAGTTATTGTTTATATTTATAAAGTAATATATTTTTTTGAGAACAGTGCATAAATTAGGGGTTACATATTTAAAAGCATCTTTAAAATTAAATATTATTTAATAAATAATTGATTTTAAATTTTATGTCAAAAAGTCATATTCAGCATAAAAACAAGACTAAATGAACTAAATCAATCAACAAAATTGTAGAATAAAATCCACTCAAAATTTTCTACATATATAATTTTTTTGAAAGCATGCAACCAGCTCACCTTGCCTCTATTACAGCCATGTATATTATGCTTGCAAACAGACAGTTTTCATTGACCTGTAAATAGCAGAGTTTTATAATTACTTTAAAGACTTAAGTTATTTTAACACTTATGGGGATCAAAACAAACATCAAAATTATGATTGATATTAGTGAATTTTGGTGTTTCAATAACAATTTGAAATACTTATCTTGCCTTTTTTATTACAGATTCTACAAAACAAAATGGTTACCTTCAGGTCATCATCCAATACGCCTAGTCTCAATAGTTCTTGTAAAACATGGTCACTTCTCTTTTTGACATCGTTGGTAATGGCATGAAAATTGCAAAATTCATTGTACTTCTCCAGCCTTGCTTGATAGAGCAATTCCCGTACCGAATTAGATTGGCTTTGTGACATGTCTGAACCTGGGCTAAAAAAAAGAAATATTTGATTTGATATCAGGAAGATATGCAAGAAAGCTTATACTTATAGCAGCCAACATTGCTTTATCTAGTTAGGCCTGCATATTTAAATTAACAAAACAATGTGTGGATTGCTGAAACTAATCATACCCTATAGGCCAGAGGTAGGAAAACCCTGCAAGCACGAATAAGTGTTGCAAAATATTTAAATTACATGCTTCTTGACATGGGCTTACTACATTATTGAAAAACGGTCATGTATTCGCTGACTTAAGTAGTCAATGAAAGTGGCGAAAAAAGTAAACTTGCACTTTCAATTTCAGTTGCACATCAGAGGGGTGTGGTGATAGGGAAAGTGGAAAGGAGTGCTCATGATCTTGAACTCTTGCGAATAAGAACGCACGTCAATGAAGTAGTTAGCAGCAAATTGATGTATTCTTCAGTTCGAGGGCTGCATCACAGCTGTTTCTCCCAAAGTATGCCTTCATGTGGGCTTTGCTGCCGCGTTAGATGAAGAATAATTCACCTGTCTATTCAGGGCGGCTGGTAGCGACGCATTGCTTCTACTCTTTATGCATAGTAATTGTGGTTACTGTTTAGGAATTTATGTCTGTAATATGACCATAAAATAAAATTGCTGAGTGTTCTAAATGGATGATTGCCTGCTCTCTCATTCTTCATTCTTGGAATTTTTTCTTCTTCTAAATTTGAGGGCCCATGATCAATTTATTGATCATTCTGGCTCCTGGTTTGAATTCAGAGTTTGCCTTTTCTTAGATGAGAAGCTGTCCAAGGTTAAAGAGTCCCATCCACCCGGGGAGCTAGGGATGTTTTTGCTTGTCTTGGCTTTGGTGGGGATTGAACTCCTGACCACCAGCTATTTAGATTGAGTCAGTCATCAGTTTATACGACTTGGCCACCCAGCACTCATGCTTTACAATTCCCAGTACACACAAGTGTGCAAAACACAGGCCTTGTCCCCGGTGAGAGGTAAATGAAAACGAACTTCCAGCATCTGTGATGAAGGGGAACTAAACTCAGACAATTAAATTAGGCTAGATGCAATAATAAAAAAACTAGGTGGACATTAGGCCGGACTGGAATACTATTTAGGCCGAATCTGGCCTAAGGCAGGAGTTTGCCGACCTCTGCTATAAGCCTATACGTCTCTAAATGTTTAGTCTCTTCTCCTAAATGTAGTCTCTTCCTCCTATGCCAATATACCTGTCTAATGTATTGTCTCTTCCTTGTGGCAGTGGAAGGGAGACTGAATTTGAATATTAAACAATTAGGCCTATATACTAACTAGTAGTACTATTACTACTACTATTACTAGTCTATTAGATTCCGACTCTTCAACTATGTCAACAAAGTTATATTTCAGGATTAGTATTGCATGAGAAGTAGGCTAGGCTACCGCTATATCGGCCCTATTTTAAGATGTAGGGTCTATTTCTTTGTGAACTATCTGCCTACCTTAAACTTAATTATTTATCACCATAACTATTATTTTTTTGGCACTAGTATTTTTTTATTACCATAATTCTCTCTCCCTCTCAGCATTGCTTCTTTCTAGAATGCATTATTGCTTAACTCCCACTTTGTTTTGGTAATATAACCAAGTATTTTTTTCTAGTATTTGTTTGCAGGATACTCAGTACATTACTTGGTAGAGAAATAGATTTTAAAATTAACAATAGTTTTGAATCATTCGCGGTCACGTGACAAGGCTGACGGACAAATATCCCGCGTCATTTTGTTACGGCGGTCATGTGACTTGGTCACCAGACAAATAGTGCAGGAGATATATACGTCCGGCGTGCCGGATGTGTAGACACTGCCTAATATTATTTGTTACCAATTATATAAATTTTATGATAAGTATCTCATTACAGTAGGCCTATACTTTGCCTATGCCTACTATATAATACTATAACTATATAATATATCGAAGTCGATGCGTACACCGCGGCGGTGTACCTAGCGAAACCATCGGCTTTGGCCTGCGTAAACCGCTGCGGTGTATCTAGCGAAATCGTGGGCTTTGGCCTGGGTACACCGCTGCAAAAATGTACCATTGGCCTTGTTTTAAGATATGCTTGTTAGAGAAGGTCTTGTGTGGTCAAGTGGTAGAGTGGACGCTTGGCGAAAATATATTTTGAGGTCAATTCCCAGTAGGGGATCGAGTTTTTTTCCCTCCCATTTTAGTTTTAAAATATTATATATATATATATAGTATTTAATAATATTTAAAAATTTATTTAAATTGTTTAAATTGCTACAAAATATTTTAAAAATAAAATATATATATAAGTGTTTCAACAAGTTGTGCCGGCCTTTGACTTTTAAAATACCGGTAAATTTAGTAATAAGACATTAGACAACAAATTTAAGTTTCTGAAAGCGCATGTATAGTGTATGTAAAGAGAAACATAATGAATACATAGTGATATTCTATTGTATTTCAACAATCTTCGTGTAGTTGAATATTTACATTTTACTTTTAAGAACACCCAAAGAAAATACCAGTATATCATTAATATCATATGACTATGAATATTAATGTCATTATTGTGCATGGTCAAATTTCCACCTTGAACCATCTTGCTTTCACTATGCCATATGTATTGGCAAAATGTACACACAATATCAAAGGTTCATTCACAACACTCAGTCTCACAGCAAATCTTTTGAAAACATCTCGATTTTAGAAACTTACGGAGCGGTAGCAAACTGTATAGCAAAGCCATAGGCATAGGTCTGCGTTTAACCTTTTCATGGCGGAATTTGTTTCTACAATGGCATGGCATGTGCTATTCTCAGGGTAAAACACGACGTTTTCTCACAGAAACTATTGCACAATGGGCTTGGGACAGGATTTGCGCTATGTCGCCTATGTCAAAGTTTTTTTATTTGTTGGGTTTTTTCTTAACGAATTTGAAATAAATAGTTTTCAGCTTTAACAAGAGTGTAACATTAAATCTACAAGTACCGGTTAGGCCAAAAAGTTAAAGACTCGCAAAGACCTTAGTTTTGCTACTTATAATCGCTGCGGTGTACGCAGGCCACAGACCATGATTTAGCTAGGGACACCGCCGCGGTGTAAGCAGGCCAAAGTCAATAGTTTCGATAGGTACACCTGCGCGGTGTATGTAAGTGCCAGCCATAATATATACTACTTTAATAAATAAATACCATATAAAATTATAATTAATATTTTGAACTTATACTTTTGTCCTAAATTTAACCCTAAGCCTCAACTGAACCCTAAATCTAAATCTATCCCTAAACTTAACCTGAACCCTAAACTTATCCCTAACCTGGGTTTTGACCCTATTGGAACCAGGGACAAAACATGCAAATGACGTCAGGGTGCTATCTCTTCACATTAGATGATTAGCCAAGATGAAGATGGTATAATAATATAACATAATTCTGATAGCCTAACTAAATTATAAATTATAGTGACCCTGCAATATTTATTATAGGGTCTTGCCTAAAATTTAGTTAGTCAAGTTATTAAATCTTAATATTGCATTGTAAATATGATTAAGGCCATAGATTAAGTAAGTACTTGGCAGTTGTAGATAATCATAGCACCTCGGCAAGAGCAACTGCAAGCCATCAAACTTATTAAAAAAACTGCTTTCAGTCTGAGTCAGTTCAGTGAGTGAAACCAAATCTTCTGGGCCACTCAGTACCCTTTAGGTTATGGCATTTGATACTTTCAAACAAACTTACATCATATTGATGTTTAATGGACTTTCTTGGTTAGCCATCAATATCAAATCCATCACTGTCTATCCAAAATGTGTCATTTCACTTAAACAGCCCGAACAACACCACAACAAAAAGGCGGTGGCTGACGACCTTCGACTGTTTTTTTTTTACCCGCGTATTAAAGCGATCGCTATTGTATCATTGGTTAATTTTAATTTCCGGGTCAGGGGCTAAAGTTTTATCGTCAGGGATTTTCCCGCCAATGACTGAAAGAAAAGACATTGGGAATGCCCGTAAAGTTTACTTGCATAGGCAACACCCTCTGGATCAGAGGAGCCGTGGTAGTGCAGATCGATCATTATGACCGTTCGGAAAATGGATTGTGGGGGGAGGGGGGGTATTGAAGAAAGCGTGGCGAAGGTGATACCTTACATCAAAATCGTCAATAAATTTAACTTAATTGTACAGTAGATTTTAAATTATGTGTGTATCTCATTTATTGATGAAATGGACGGGGTGCCATTTTTAGGCTTTACCTCGGGGCGCACTACTGTTCTGATGGTACACTTATTTCGAAAGCTTAAAAACTAGACCCCAGCGCTACACATTTAATCGGTGACGTCCATATAAAAAAAAGGTAGGGTGGTGTAAGGTAGAATATAGTCCCTGATTGAAATCAGCTTAAATAAACTAAAGCGTAAACTACGTATAGTACCATTGCTTAGCTACCCCCCCCCCCACAAAGATCATGGTCACTACCATGGGTGCCCGCAGAAAACTTTCTAGGGGGCGGGCAAAAAAATCGATTAACTTTCCAGGGGGGGGGGCAAAAAAAATTTAGTAATGTTTTAATATAGTTTTTATTTACTGTAGCGTATTTGTATGGTGGACGAACGGACAGGACATCAGCTTAGTTACTTTCTCTTTATTTTCTCTTTACTTTAATAAAAAAAAAATTATATTTTTGTCTAAAAAAATTTTATCCAATCAATCCACGGAGGGGGGGGGGGCAATGAATGATACGAAGGAAAAGATACCTGATACGCGTATCAGTACACCTGACAAACCTCAAGACACACGCCGAGGACCAGGGCCATGTGAAGTGGGTTGAAGTGGGCTCTCACCCCTTGCGTCAAATCACAAACTCATCCTTAGAACCCACTCTATTTAAAAAAATGTACAGAAAAAATAGTTTGTAGAACCCTCCATAGAAAATAATACACAATTAAATGACAAAGTTTAACACAGGCAGTGTCTTTAGTTAAGATTCAAATGAAACTGTTTTATTCGGTAATAAGCTGATTCATGTGAACAAGCGATACCTCAGCTTTAAAAAGCAGTATAATTTCTACGTAACAGTTGTAGATACCTACAGTAACCTACTGTCTCCATTGGTCCATTATTCTTACTGTATGCACTTTGTAAAGTGAGATTAGTTTTTCAATACCATTAAAGTCTCTACTTAGCGGAATATTGATTCAACGTTTACATTTCTAGACCCTTTCTTTGCATGTCGAAAACTTTTGACAACAACATTTAAATCGCCCTACCCTAAATAACATGTCATGGATGCAACAATGAGAAAATTAACCATCTTACACCGCAATCTCTTTTTATGAAGTGGCTTTTCGTACCCGGGTACCAGAAGTGAGAGGTTGGGATTAAAAAACCGATATACGTTCCTGATTGAAGTCAGCTTAAATAAACTAAAGCGTAAACTGCGTAAAGTACCATGTCATCTTTTTTAAGTCAAAACACTTACTGTAATTCCTTTAAATTGTTCTGTTCTTTTCTTTATCATATTTGGATCAGCCCCTACATTCTGTTCACAAACTACCACAACTATAAAACGGATTTATCACACATTCTGGAATGATTTAGACCTACATCAAATTGAAAAAATATTATAATCACTCAGATAAATAAGATCATCACACATTCTGTGATTTACATCATCTTGAAAATATTATAATCATACAGTTTTTGTGTGTGTGTGCAAATAAATAGTATAGCATCTCTTCTTTGTGTGGAATATTTAAAAATAAGACGTGGATTATTGTTCTGGAATAGAGTTAAGTTTCAAACAAATTAAAGAAAGAAATCATGCTTTTAATAAAGTTCATCTCACTCTCATGCAACTGGAAATTAATTTGATTTTATTTAGCGAATTTTCTGATAATTAAGCAATGTCGTGTGTGATGCAGAGGCATAGCGAAGTGGGGGCAAGGGTGACAGATGTCCCCGGGCGCAAGCTAGTTAAGGGCACCAAAATTTGCTTTGATATTATATTATTGGTAAAAAATAATGGGTTTGAGAGTTGAAAAAAAAGAAAATGGGGCTTTTTAAAATGGATCTTGTCCCCGGGCTCGAATCTTGTCCCCGGCGCCAAACAGCCTCGCTACGCCTCTGGTGTGATGTCTTTGAGGTCACCACCAATGGAAGTAGTTTTGTGTCTTTAAAATTCTTCAGATTCTCGTCAAATGACGTGTTAGAAATCATACCAATTCACGGCAAAAATGGCGTCATTTTATCAGACGATCAATGATTTTTGTAGCATCCTTATTTTGGCCAGAAATTGCACAATTAATAGTTAAGACATTTGGTACCATTATTTTTTTTTAGCAACAACCAAGCCCCGATTTACTAAAAGAGGTGACGTCGTCAGTCGAGACTGCTGCCTTTGAGGCCCCTTGCACCCCCCCCCCCAACTCCCCCCTCCAATTTAAAAAAGTGAAGAACACCATTTGGACTTGTTATTTTACACTAGATCACACTTTTTGGTTCACTGCTACCTGATTGTTTTAAGACATTTGGTACCATTATTTTTTTTTAGCAACAACCAAGCCCCGATTTACTAAAAGAGGTGACGTCGTCAGGCGAGACTGCTGCCTTTGAGGCCCCTTGCACCCCCCCCCCCCAACTCCCCACTCCAATTTAAAAAAGTGAAGAACACCATTTGGACTTGTTATTTTACACTAGATCACAATTTTTGGTTCACTGCTACATGATTGTATTTATGATCTAAAGCAGGGGTCTCAAACTCGCTGCCCGCGGGCCATTTGTGACCCGCAAAGACGTTATTTTCCGACCCGATACCTGACAGCAAAGTTTAGCGGCCCGTGCGTTTTCCCTATTCTCGTATCTATCATGTGACCCTCCGCGACGGTTTCAGTCGAATCTCACCGACTAGTCTAATTCGGATGTTTATTATGTTTGAATAGATTTGGACGTTGAGTATAATGGTAAAATCGTTTTAATTTCGGACTAAAAGTTTTTATTTTATGAGACAAACATGGCCAAAGAGCGGTTTTGAGAAAAATTTAAAAATTCACTTAGTGGCTAATGGAAATCATAATCGTGTGCATTGCAGCAATCAGACATAGTAATCAAAGAATCTATATTAAAATTGCCGCTAGTGTTTAAGGGTGAGGGAAATTCCAAGCCTGACAGCTTGGTCACTTTCAAAATAGGGTTGGTCAAAAAACAAAGATGATATCGTCTTTGTTTCAATTGACCAAAATCATCAATAATCTTGTCAATGATCACATTTTTGTGTGTGCATATTCTTGTAGGCAAGCAATTACTAAAATTAACCTAAAAGGGGAGAAAAAACGTGCGTTTCCAAATGATCAAGCATGTTCGAAGTTGATGAATGGTCAACAATTTTTCAATATGTTCTAATGATTTGATAAAATACTTTTCAAAAGACACTTAGATCCGTATGAATCCTCACTGCATCGATACCCCATGTAAGATATAATTTCACAAGTTCGTTTGCACCCGGACATTCAAGTTTGATGAATTTGGGTTTAATGCCGACACAAATTTCAGAAAACTACAGTTTTAAACGACAGTCTAATCGAGTTCAGAGAGTAAATTGTCTACAGTCTAATCGAGTTCAGAGATGAAATTGTCTACAGTCTAATCGCGTTCAGAGAGGAAATTGTCTACAGTCTAATCGAGTTCAGAGATGAAATTGTCTACAGTCTAATCGAGTTCAGAGAGGAAATTGTCTACAGTCTAATCGAGTTCAGAGAGGAAATTGTCTACAGTCTAATCGAGTTCAGAGATGAAATTGTCTACAGTCTAATCGAGTTCAGAGAGGAAATTGTCTACAGTCTAATCGAGTTCAGAGAGGAAATTGTCTACAGTCTAATCGAGTTCAGAGATGAAATTGTCTACAGTCTAATCGAGTTCAGAGAGGAAATTGTCTACAGTCTAATCGAGTTCAGAGATGAAATTGTCTACAGTCTAATCGAGTTCAGAGAGGAAATTGTCTACAGTCTAATCGAGTTCAGAGAGGAAATTGTCTACAGTCTAATCGAGTTCAGAGAGGAAATTGTCTACAGTCTAATCGAGTTCAGAGAGGAAATTGTCTACAGTCTAATCGAGTTCAGAGAGGAAATTGTCTACAGTCTAATCGAGTTCAGAGATGAAATTGTCTACAGTCTAATCGAGTTCAGAGATGAAATTGTCTACAGTCTAATCGAGTTCAGAGACGAAATTGTCTACAGTCTAATCGAGTTCAGAGAGGAAATTGTCTATAGTCTACACACGCAAAAAGGATTCGGGCACGCAAAGAATCCTCATTATTATTATTATTATTATACGTGGTTTTACATACAATTTAACAAACATAATAAAAATATGAAATAATTAATTGACATACATTAATTCAATAAAACAAAACAAATGTATATATAAAACTATTGACATGTCAAGCCATGGACGACACTCTGTACCATAGTTTTACGGTCAGAGGTGGGAATCAGTTAGGATAGTCTGAGTCGTTTCTGTAATCGTTTTACCAGTTGATGACAGCACAAAATATTTTGATTTTTAGAAAAACAAATGTACGTTGCTTGGGCTTTTTGTGACCTTGTGCCGTGCCGCAGTAGTTGCCGTTCAGTGGAATTCCGAATTGAACTCCGATTTCGTCAGCTTCTTTCACAATACCATCCGGAGAGTGAATGTTTCGAAATATCTTAAGACCTTCCAGGGTGGATTCCAGCAGGAGTTCTGCTGATAAATAATCGGCTGGTGAGTTTTGTAATTCTTGCAATTGGCTACCCCAAAAACTGTTCAGCTGCAAGCAAACAACGCAGAAATTATATTAAATTAATTCTTTTTCTCAGCCCTTGAACTTCTTCTTGGGTTAT